AATTAATTCCAGGGAGTTTGGGTGTAGAACTTTCTCACTCACAAATGTAAATACAGCTGGTAGCAGATCAAATAAATCATTATTTTATTGTAACATAAATTTACTGTGACACTAAATATTGTGCAGAAATGACATTTACAGTATTAAAGTACAGCATAGAATAGAATATTCAAAGTCATCTATTTGGCAAATCTTAAAATTGAGATGCTTTAAATAGCTGCGTATCATAGTTACTTAGTTATCTGAATATAGCATCAATCTGTCTTTGTAGACATTTAATGGTGTGACTATTTCTCAACATAGTGCTTATGGCAATTATCAACATTACACAGTATTACATAATCAAATAATCATAATCATTTTATGTCTACCCGAAGACCTTTGAAACAAAATAGAATTTAATACGGCGTTCTTGAAACAAACAAACCACAGTGACTTGCCCTTTTCATCAGGTACTATGCAGAATGTTCTTTGCATATCATTATGCAAATGGTACAAAAATATTTTCAAAAGTGTGTGTGTGTGTGGCGGTGGTATAAGAGGGAAAGAATATGTTTAATATATTTAATGTTATGAATTAAATAAAGACAAAGCTCGGTATTGGAACTCTTTCATTAAACTATTTATCTAAAAAGTGGCTCTTCATTAAGAAGAAGAATAGAATCGGTGTAACAGAAATCAGGATATTCAAACAGAAACAATGTGTGTTTTAGGGAGGGAGATGTGATACTGATTTTACACATCATCAGGGTTGCAAAGTGTCTTATTGGGATAGAAACGTTAGTGAGATACCAAAGTAAAACTCACTTTTAAATATTTGATGTAACAAACTGCTGCGTGGAACATCTCATGCTTTTTCTGCCTGATATATATCGCCAGGTGAGGTATTTACCACTATGGTCGTTTTCATGCGTCCTAAATGGCCAATTCTACATTCCTGAGCATCATCATGTCAATATAGCATTATAGCATTATAGGTCACTTATTATATAAGTGTTTGTCTTAAATGGTAAAAAATATATAAAAGAGAAACAAATTCACACCTTGGAGGCCCCACACACCCACACACACACACACACACACACATGTATGATTGTCATTTCATAAATATCATTAAGCATATTTCTACAAATATTCTTACACGCTATCAAAATTGCGTGTGAATGCTCCGAATCCCTGGTTTTCTACATGGCATTTATTCCCTATCGCAGACATGCTGTTCCTCACCTGCCCACCAGGTGTCATGAGTCACTTGATTCATCACCTGCATGCACACCGCTGCCCTTTGCCCATTAGCCTCATTAGGGCTGGTCATGCCAGGATTTCAAACACAGACATTTTGCAGGTATATTGATGTGCTGACTGTAATGGAAAAAAAATTCTTACAATGTTTCTTATCCATGAATTCGAAATTGATGCATCATCTATCAAGGAGACAGCAAATAGATGAACAGTGGAACAACTGACAACTGTGAATTACGGCCTAAGCCGTAAGATCTAGGCCTAGGCCTAAGCTTTACCGCATATGGAGTAAAGAAAGTCAAAACTATGCAGTAAGGAGGACCTTTGAAACATCTTTGTGATCTTGAGTGTGCCAAAAACTGACCAAAGCCAGTTGCAGGTACCAGGTGGACTCACATCAGACAGATCTGGGGCGTGAACTCCTGTATGTATAAAATGTTTCGTTTTCTTGAATGTCGTTGAAGCTTTCAACACGGGCACTGACTGAGTGACTGTGGTGAAAACTCTTCCCTTGCAAGTAAAATAAACTAGGCAAAAGACAACTTTGAATCTTCTGAAGACTTTATTATTGATCCGTGAACAAAACTCTCTTCTCCCGATTAACATAGAAATCTTCCACAACATGACCTTTTGAGGGGATGGAGAGCTGAAGAGCCCAAAATAGAGGAAGCGATCTAATCTTTCCATCGTTTTCTCCATCTGAGTCAAAAGTTGTTTTTTTCAGCTAGATTGGCTTCAAAGCCTGGCACTCTTCCTGGGATTTTAGCTCGTAAACCTTTTCTCTACCCAACATGTGTTTTCTCACGTGCTCCCGATCAGGCTGAAACCATGAAAAGGAGGCTTCATTCTTTAGCTCGTTCCATCGTCAGTTCCGGACAAAAACAATGAGCTTGATTCTGGTTTCACAACCTTCCAATCTTTCTAAATTCAGTTGCTGGATTTAAAAACTAGACATTGCTTTTTTTACATTTTACAGGGCAGGAGAGCAAACCTCCCTGTTTAGCCATGCATGCAATTATGGGACAGGAGTCAGTGGTACTGGACAAAAAGGGGTGATTTTGAAGACGGTAGTAGGTTAGTATGCCAGCTACATTAGTCCACCAACTAGCCCTGCAAGTGCAAGTACCATGTCACCAGGATTTTAGCTCCACCTGTTCTGTGTGGATGAGCAAATGTCACCTCGTAGTGTGGCCGGTCATTGACTCTGAGCCAGACTGGTGTCTCATTCTTAGTTTCCTCTTAACTTTACCTCATTTCCACCTTATGAGATTGTAATCAGCATAGTCGGTGCTGTTTTCCCCCTACCAGCCCTTTCTAAGGCCTTGATTGTTACAGAGGTGTACTGTATCACACATAGTGGCTTGCCAACAGACACATTGTTTTTCCTTCGAGTGTTGATAATGATGCAATATTTGCTGTTGTTCGTATTTTCTGTGAAATAGAGCATTTACTGGTGACAGAAACTTTTCACCTCACAGTTTAATCAAGGCTGAGCACACAAGAGTAAATGATCTCTCTAAGAGTGTTCATCAACGCTAAATATTGCATTTGTTCAGCGTTAACTGTTAACCAAGATTTGGGGTTAATGGTAGCTGCTACGATCCATTTACGGGTTCAGGGTACTTTAATTGTACCGGTAGGTCGATTTTGTATTCAGTGACAGACGAGTCATTCCCCCCACTCACAAAAACACAGACAACAAACAAACATGGTAGAAATACTCAAGGCTCTTGTCACTCATTCCACTAAAATACAGCAAACGATATAGATTCATATGAAAAGATAACTGTGTGGCATCTATAGCTTTTGGGCTTTGTTCCTCCCATAGGATTTATTCCTCTGAGGAATGTCACAGGAAGTTGTTTTATACCACTTTGAACTACACATCTGTCCGGAAAGAAGAAGCCATAATTCATCCTGCAAGGTCAGAGAGTCGTCATTTAAAACAGAGCCGGTCGCTTATATTGGTTTCCTAAACGTGAAAAGAAAAAGAGGAAAGTGATAAAGCACAATAGAATAAGATGATAGCGGTATTGTAGTTGTGGAAGCAGGAGAGGATTTTTAAACAAAGTAAACACATATTTGTGAGATTGCACACATTCCACAGTCGGACTTCATGTTCAACAAATTCATGTTGATGGACACTTCTACTTAGAAAAGGTCGACGTGATTCTGACTAAATGAATGTGCAGTGTTAGTTTTTACAGATACAGATACTGCAGCCAGATGATTTTGCCTTGTGAGTCTACATGTGACTTGGAGGCACCGAGCGTCAGCGACAGCTACGGCAAATGTGGTTACGAGTGCTCGTGCAGGTTTTCCCGCGAACAGATTTTGTCACCGCGATAGAGTCACACCCACGTGAGATGCAGTCAGCGAACTTTACGGATGTTTGGATGAAAATGAAGGCCGAGATCAAAGAGGGATGTGATTCCAACTCGGGGTCCCGGGAGAGTCGGGCTGGGGAGGGAGGACACAGCCGATGCACATCCCCCCCACCTCATGCCGTTGTTTTGATCCAATTGTTTCTTACTTATTAAATATGGTGTCATCTTTAGTATACATTGCTTTTTTTTGTCACCATTACACTGTAAATGCGTGTGAATACTGACATTCGTTCCTTTAGTCTCGTTCTTAGTTTTAGTTCTTATCAAATGTTCAAATATTATTTCGCAAGTGATCCAAAAATGTCAATAAGAGCGTAAAAAAAGACCTCGAGATCTTTGAGCTTCTTTTCCAGTGGACCTTTCTTAGCTGTGGATGATTAGTGTTGCACCTATGACTGTTTGCATGCAGCTATGCCCTTTTCACAGGACGTAATGAAGGGCATGCTGAATATGTAGTGTTTGACAGAGATTTGCCGCTATGGTCACTGGCTTACCATCAGAAAGCAAACATTAACTGGCAAAGTCTGTGTAGTGCAAATGCGTTTTCGCAAATGCATGTTTGGTGCCATCTGGTGACTTCAAGCAGTGGAGTTGAAGGATTTAAACTACAAGGCGCCTGACGATATATAAAAACAGCTGCTGTACTATTTAACTTGAATCGGTCGGTAGAATAATGAACGTGTCTCAAATCACGCTCTGTTTGCAAAACTAACTTAATTGGGGCCGACCGCCAGGCGATGAGTGTGTTCTTAAGGACAAGTACAGCAGCGCACTGTGCTGTGCAACACAATACATTCAGTCTGTAAGCAGACACTGAAGAAAGGGAGTGTCTCCTCTTCTTCTCCACACTCCAGAGGGAGCAAGTGACCAGTAAAAGAATCTGGAATAAGAGTGAGTCACACAGTGTGTTGAAATCTGCGGCTGATTTGGGGAATTTTCCTTCTGCAAATCCGGTGCCAGCTATTGTCTGCGACATCAACAAGTAATCTTTAGCAATGCCTGTTGGAATGAAGGTGCATCCTAAGTGAGGCAGAAGAAAAAGCCTTTAATAAGCATCTTTAGGAAGTACTGTGTAGTGAGCCGGGCTACAAAGGCTCCCGAGAGAATGTGAAGTGAGTGCAACAACCATTCAACTAATAAAATAACTAAAGAACAACAGTTATTATGACGGAGTAGACCGTCTGATAAGATGTTCATACCAACGTGCTGCAGTAAGTTACACTTCAGGGGGTTTTGATGGTTTTCTTATTCTCCATTATTAATGACGTTTACAATATATATTATGCATGCATGGGATGTACGTGGATCCTCTTTTTGGTGTATTTTTTCCCCTGTGGAATGGTGTGTGCTCCCTGCTCAGTGGGCACGCCTGTGTTTGTGTTGGAACAAGTGCTGGAGGGGCGTAGCCGCACAAGGGCGTGTGCCTCCACCCCTCCGCAGGATCCCAGGAAAAGGAAACTTGACGCTGCTGTCTGCAACAAGTTGCGTGTTTAACTCCAAAAGGTGAATATATTTACTTAAATTCAGAGCTAGATTGTAACTTAACTGTAATCCATGTCTTGTTTTTCATATTCTCTCGCTGTATTCACATTTTACATAAACATATTGAGAACAATCCCAGGAGGATTGTGTTTGAGGGGAAGAAAATCGAGCCCGGTGTGGCTGTAACAGGGTAATACAATATTTCAGCAATAGAATAGATGAGTTATGACCTAAATGGTCCGTCTTCTCCTCTTACACACAAAGAAAAAGTTTCCACTTCCTGCTGCATATGGGACCTGTTAGAGGATTTACTGTTCTGTTACTTTAAGTTCTGTTCCTCTTTCAGCCAAGATGCCCGAAAACGCAGAAGCTGTGTCAGCCACTCTCACCACCAACAGAAACTGCACCATAGAGATAACGAATGTCAGCAGTAACTACTGCCTCATCAACCCCAAGTAAGTCCATAGCGGTGATTAACATTTCTAATGCATGTGAATGTACATCAGCAGACTGGATGAAGAGACGAAACTGTTTATTGAAAGAGAGGTAAACATTCATGAGCGACTTAATGCAGTGCGGGCAAAATAAAATGTGACGGTTGCTTCTTAATGCATCTCAAATGTTCAGGGCGTCAACAATCTATTCTGCACTTAAAAATGTGTTTTTTTAATATCTTCATGGCTTGTTTGTGAACTCAATGGCTGCTTTGTTCCATGGAGGAGTAGCCCTTTAAGGGGATGCTTTGACATTGCAATGCCTGATTACATCTCTGAATCGGCATCTTGATGATAAACAAATAGTCCTTTGAGAAAAATGTAGTCTCTGCTACTTTTGTTTTTCTCTGAGTTGGTTAGTTTGGGTCTTTTTATTGTCTAAATGTTAAGTAAAGCTCAAAATGATTTATTTGATTTGGTGGCGTACTCCTCAATATTGTACCGCTTCTTCCACTTCTGCAAGACCAGGGGGGGGGATGAATAAAACAAAACAGTGGATATAAATAAGCCACGTCACATTTATCTAGCTGTGGCAGGACAGACCGTATCTTGGATGGATGGTTTTCATGTGTGACATAACTTTGCTGAGAACATCCACCTATCCATCATGCAGTGACACGCACTGCCTCATTGCACATCGCATGCAGCTACACTCACTGTAACTTAGAAGTCCACAGCAGTACCTGCACGGTCACACTCCATCCATCAGCATGAGGTAGTTCAGGTACCCTGGAAAGCCCAACACTTGAAAAGTACTCTGAAAACTCGTATTTTTCCATCAAAAGTCTGCTAAGTCCGTCCGGTATCGATGGGAAAGGTTAATCTCCCCGCCTCTTCTACAGGGTCTACATGTCGAGCGGCTTCTGCCACCACCCGCCCCAGCCCACCATCCGCACCGCCAGGACTGAAGTGTGCTCCTTCACCAAGGACGACAACACCGCCACGGGCTCCGTCGGCCTGCTGACCTACGACCTGTTCCACATGCAGAGCCGCGTCTGCTCCGAGCGCGTGGCCATCATGTTTTCTGTGCCGTTTGACCACAACCTGTACAAGAACCGGCTGGCCGTGGGCGTGGTCGAGCAAACCCGGGCCTGCGATAAACAGCTGTACAAGCAGCTGTACGATGGGAAAGACCTCACCGGCTTCACCCGCTCCGAAGAACACGGCTGCGGGCTGGTGCACCAAACGGCGTACGTTGATTTCAGGGCCACAATGTCCTCCATTGGCAAAGCCATCGTTAAAGTGGAGCTGTATGACAAAATGGGTCATTAGTTTGTGCTCGGCAGAATAAATAAACCTGATTTGATTTGACTGCTGCTGCATGTTGACATCTAGAAAAAAATCCAAAAGGAGGGGAAGTGACTGATTTTGCTGTCATCTGTACTCTGTGTCCGCTGACAGATATCATTATCTGACAGGCAGGCCATTGATTCTCCATTAGCTAATTTCTTGGGCTTACGTGCATTGTAAACTCCCTTTTTATTTGATCATGATAATAAAACATTCAGACTCAATGATTGTGTTGTGTGGAATATGTCTTTCATAATTGGTGACGAACAGTAATCCTTTCTTAATCTCTTAGCAGGATCCATCTAATTCTAATGAGTAGCAACAGATGGAATATTGGCAAAGATGTTTTTTTAATCATCATGAAGACAGTATGGTTGTTCACTGGCCGTGACGCTCTCCATCACTGTGTAATTAATGTACGGTAAAGGAATGCAGAGGAGATTAAGAGTGAGAGCACAGAACTATCTAGTGAAGTCTTTCTCAATTTGTTCCGGTTATTTTCATCTCTTTCGCAAAATTCCACAAGAATGAGATCACCAAACCAACTCCATCCACGATGCCACGATCAGAAGGAAAAAATGAGCGAGCTGGAAACTGTTTAAAAGTGCCACAAACAAGGGTGTGGTGGATTTTTTTTTTTCCCAGAGGGAAAAATACAGGAATCTTGGTTCTCAGCCTTCTTTTTTTGGGGTGGAGGGTGGTGACTAGACGAGGGTGTGGGCTGTCATGGGGTTGGGTAACATGTGGGGAGTGTTTCCATGATGATGGCAAACATCCTGGATCAAAAAAAAAGAAGAAGAAAAAAAAAAAAAGAGAAAAACTACCGGCAACACCCTTCTCTGTAACTTTTCCCACTCTCGGACTTGGAAGTATCAGCCGAGGTTCTCACCAGGTAAGTCAACTAGAACATTTGAGGAAAAGACTTTATTAGAAGCTGTAGAGAGAATATAAGGCTATTTATAGAGGAACGCAGAAGCCCTGATGGGGTATTTGTTTGATTTGTATCGTGTATCAGTTGATAAAGGGGCTGATCATTTTCTCTAGTGTTCTCCCTCTAGCTTCATTACGGCATGCTATTTAGTGCTGTAATTGAAGAAGTACACTCTAATGAGGCAAAGAGAGTCTGCCGCTATTCTCTGATCACTCACAACTGTGTTGAAATCTCATTAGCCTCTTGAAATGCATCATTCATACCCGGTGCCCGTTCACGTGCATCTTTGAAGGTCAATGTAGTGCAATAAAGCATGTCAGCTGAGAAGAGAGCGGTGAGAGATTTTTATAGAGGAGTAAGCATGATGCTCGTCATTCCCAATGTGATTAGAGGTGGAGGGAAGTGTTACAGTCACAGCTGTGATGTTGCTCATCAAGGATGGTTAAAAACCCAAATGACCTTTTGTTTTTACAAGCAGACCTTAACACGCATCCCAACATGTCGGAGTCAGCTGAAGCTGTAGCGGCCGATGTGACCAGCAAGAGAAGTGTTACTATTGAAATCGGGAATGTCACCAGCAACTATTGCCTCATCAACCCCAAGTAAGACCTGGCTGCCTTGTCATTTATTTAAAACATATTGCAGAGATAGAAAATAATGTCTAATGTGTGTGTGATATTATTAGGGTGTACCTTGAGAACGGGGAGACGTACAACCCTCCTCAGCCCACAGTGCGCCCCCTGAAGACGGAGGTCTGCACTTTCTCCAAGTCCGGCGGCAAAGCGACCGGCAGCATCGGTGTGCTGACCTACGACCTCTTCGAGAGGTCGCAGAATGACTACATTGAGACTCTGGCCATCATGTTCTCGGTGCCGTGGGACTACAACCTGTACAAGAACTGGTTCGCGGTGGGCGTCTACAAGAAGGGCCGCAACTGCGACAAGGATCTGTACAAAGAGATGTACTACGAGAAGAAGCAGCAGGAGCACGGGTTTGCTAGGGAGGAGGCCGTTGGCTCAGGAATCAATTATGTGGGCAGCTACTTAGATATCAAGGCCACAATGAGTCCCCTGGGCAATGCCATCATGAAGGTGGAGGTGTGGGATAAGCTTTTCACACCCATGGGCCAGCAAGCTCACTAGAGGGTCTTCTTGTCACGACATCCAGCGGCAGAATTTGTCGTTCCACCTGAAGTAGACAACGTGCCTGATTTATCAGATGTATTGCTGCTGACATGTGTCTGTGTGCCTGGGTATTACCCCCCTCCCCCCTCCCCCCACACCCTCTCATCCATGAGGCAATAACCACATTCTATAGTCAAAGCCTCTGTCTGTTTTCATAGCATCCGATTTTAAAATGGCATCTTTAGAAATGAGGATGAAAGGATGACTCAAGGGCAGATAGCTTTATAAAACACACCGAGAGCTGTTCTGTATTTTACCGTGACACTGCAGTGCAAGAAATAAACCTTTTTGTTGAAACTATTTGTCTTTGTGTTTGTCTGTTGTGCTCTGAAATGTTTAAAACGTGAAATATTTGAACATATTTTGTAGTAGTTTTTTATTGGAAGAGGGTTAAAGGGTTTCTCCAATGGGGATGAAAGGACGCAGCATTGTGACACGCCCTGCCTTATTTTGTCCGACATCAAAGCAAATACAGCACTGCTAATACACCAAGCAGTATTGCATGGAAACAGTGTAAGACTAACCACAACTTAAAGAGAATAGTTTATTATGCATTATCTTCAAATTGTTTTTTGGAATGCAAAAAGTAACACAACATCGACCTTTTTTCAAAATCAAACGCCTGTATTTCTCTTTTCAGAGCATATCATTATGGAAATGTTTTGCATCTTTGCTATTGATTTCTTTTTTGCTTTCAGCACCACAGTATTAGCAGTAGTATAGGACATCACAGACTGACCAATCTCCTATTCATTTTTTATAATCATAATGTTTCCTCGAGCACCAAAATGAAAACAATTATTAAATTGTTGGCTAAATACAACTTGCCTATACAATGTTTTTAGACATTATTTGTAACCAGATTTCTGTGAAAGGTCTTCCATCCTGGCGGAATAAGAGGGAGCACTAAAACGTCTCAGCTATGTGGTTAATGTTGGAAACACATTCTTTGGCTCATTTTCATGAAACAAAAATGAATTATTACGTTTCCTTTTTTTTTGATGCAATTATGACAGGGGCTTTGTTCTGGTGGTGAAAGAGACGTGAAAGGACAAGATGAAGTCCCCATTCGTTTTGACAGCTCAGGACCTCATTACGCTTACTAAAAGCTTCATAATTCTTTAGTTGGTGAGAAATTACAATCTGGACACGTTATCACACCATCAGACATCTCGCTTTGCAGAAGTGTCACAGCCAAGTTTAGTGTTGAAACAGTCGTTAACCTCGGGAGAACGTGTGAGCTCGGTTTGCATCACATTCACAGGCAAAGTTATCCGTTCCCCGTGAGTCTATTCTGGATCTAAACCCCGCCTTCCTGATCGGGCTTTTCCCCGTTAGATTCACGATGCTTTTTCTGGATTAGCTGTTCCAGCCACAAAGCAGCCCAGATCAAAGGTTTTGCTCACTGTCACCGTTTGATTTGCATAAAAGTCGTACATAACGTGGAGGCATAAACCCGGCCTGTCTAGGCTCAGTGCCCGAGGCTTTGTTGAGTAAAAATCAGAGAAATTATAAACAGATGAGGGACACTAAGCACAAACTTTTGTCTGTTGCAGCTTTGAAATGATAAGTTCCCACACAATCCTTTCATATTGTCCTTTCCATCTCTCCTCTATGCTTAGTGTACCTGCACATAAATCTTTCTTCTTTCATGTTTTGCATCAAATTCCTTCCCCTTGTGTGTTTTTGTGTGCGTTTGTGCGAACATTAAATGTGTTTCAGCGTTTTTTGTGATGAGCATCTCTGCGTGTTGGGACGCGCGCCCCTGTGCATGCAGAGATGGGTTTATTTATATCAAATGCATTCCTTTGTGAATTATGCCATTTCCTTTTAGCAAGTCTGAAGAAAATCTTTCCAGAACAGACTGGGATTAGACTCCTTCAACAGGAAACAAAACACATGTGAAAAATGTATTTTACGGAGCAGATAAACTTAAGAAGCTCAGCAATGGTGGATTGAAACCGATGCTTTTTTTACCACTAAACAGCGGTGATGCTGTTTGTCACGGTAAAAAAAGCGTCAGTCGAAATCCCTCCCGGGGTTTTCAGAGGAAAGGGAGGTGGATGAGTGCAGCTGCAAAAGATTTCCATAAGACAACAATCAACTGATCACACTAAAACAACAGTAAGGCCCCAGCTGAAGCCACAGCGAGGAGAAGAGAAACACAGAAAACCTGCAAGAGGTTCAGAAGCGCATGTGCAGCCTTTTAGAGCCTTTTCTGATTTTACGAGCATTTTTGTTTGGTACTCCTACTTCCTTAACCCACTGTTGCTGTAGTTATAATGCTATAAGTAGAAAAGGCGTGCGTCTCCTCTCTCTTTCCACTTGGAGACTTTATTTACCGTCACCAACGTGACTCCACAGATGACTCATTCCCACAAAGCCCGGTTGATGCGCACAGAGCTCAGAGTCTGATCTTAACCTGCGACGAAGACTCAACTTGCAGGCCAGTTTGAATTTCCATCCTCCTGTTTCCTTTGAAGCAAAGCCTACAGGGCAGAACTGTATTGTGTATTGACTCAAACAGGGAGGGTCCAAGCAGCTTAAATGCTTTATTTTCAATAAGCTGAGTTTAGGGTGTGAGCTGCAGCGTGACCGTGAGCGCATACTGCAATACACTTCAATATCTTCTCTCACGGAGGGACATGGAAGTACACAGGGGAGCTATTTGTGGATGCCTTCAACTACTAAATCTGCTCTCTAAGACTGCCATCTAGAGGCCCTGTGGCATATCAAGTGTACTCACACAGATTGCACTCAAAGCCGTGTAGTGAAATAGTACTGGATACTACGGCGGACAGTCAAATAAAATCGATGTATTTTCATTGACTTGAAGCAGAGGAGCTGTTGGTGTGTCCCTAGAGACCTCCTCATTGTTAGCGGACAGTGCGGCATTGCTGTGGCTCTCCCTCTTCTCCTGCTATTCCTGGCTCCTAACAGATCATGACATGCAGCGGGGACTGGCTCTCGAATGTGTGCGTCAGGAGCCTGCAGCCCGGTCGCTGCAGCTCAATTACAAGCATCAGTTTCAGTCTGGTTCCCCGCTAGATAGTTTGGGCTTAAACAACACATAGAAACGCCAGATACGCACTGTTCTGCATGTACGTCCTTGTTATTCCAAAAGTTCAGGTGGGGTTCATTCCTGTGCAGAATGTCTAATCATTTAATCCCGTTGTTCCTAGCAGGCTTTGGAGATTGTCTCATGATGCTACTTTGTTGTTTTGTAACATATCATCATGTAACAACACAGAACGCCTGTTCTTTCAGGCCTCCCTCCAAAGCCCAATGATCATAATGAACATCACGCTCAATTTACCGTTGATATTGTTATTTGTTGTTGACAGGCGAGCTCCCTCTGGATGTTTCTAGGTTATCCAGCAGCGGCTCCTGGTCGCAGTTTGGGGGTAATTCTCTATAAATGTTTATGTTGACATTCACCGGTTGGCGCAGGTCCTGCTCCTTTTCCATCATCTGAAACAAGTGAAGTACATTTCCGCCTCTTGGGGCTGAAATGATCAGCTGGCCCCGTGGTTCACGGTTGTCCGTGCTCTGTATTTCTTCGAGTTGATTCTGACCCATCGTGCAGGTACTTATGTCAAAGCTACTTGGGATCATTCAGCTGCAGGGTCAGATCTGACACAGCAGCGCCATCTGTCTGGATGTCGCACAGCAAAGTATTTACTGGTGTCATTCTGAATAAATCACCGACTGAGTTTTCATCCAGTCTGGCAAAACTCCAGAGTGGAAGTGCTCCAATAAACCAGTCGTTTAATAGTATATAAGTACATCTGTAAAAAAAAAAAAAAGTGATTTCCATTACTCACCAATTTTTGTGCCTTCACGCTGACGCCGTCTGACACTTCTTCTCATTCCGGCCGCCAAAAGTCCCCGCTCACACCCTGGAGTCTGCCGAAGGAACCAGCGGTTGCCGTGCAGATGCACCTTACCTGGTGTCCTTCCAACCACTCTGCCACGTCTCCGCGTCACGGCAGACACCGGCTCCCATTCTAGAATCACATCGTATAAACTTGCAGGTGTGCCATGTATACTTTTAGCATTGATATCTATAACGTAACATCTCCGCTGTGCCATTGGTGGCTGAAAGAAGGTTTAGCCTCAGTTCTTCTTTGTTTTCATCTTTGTTGAATCAACAAGCTATGATGAAATAGGCCTCAGACTCAAATGCCGGCAATGTACAAAAAGATTTTACAACAAAAAACCTTTTCTTTTTTATTTCTATTGTCTGCTTTTGTCTTAATTTTTTGTTTCATCAGTTAGTATCTGACTCTTATTTTGGTGTCAAAAAAGAAAGTATCAATGACTCAATGACGGATTTGTCATTCAAAACTGTCTAACTAACTACTGTCAGACATCCCTCGGTCCCTCGGCTTCATACAACCCCACAGGCTCAAGTCATCCCACTTCAGCGTCAGCGCAGATCGCTGAATGTGGGAATGTGTTGCAGGTCCGCCGATTCATGTGCTAATTGAGTGATTGTGCCGTGGCTATGGCGTTATATTTGTGCCACAATCCTGAGCGCGTAATTTTAAGTTTTGAGCACAGAGAACTATGTTGTAGCAAAGAAAAACATTCCGTGCGCGCAGTTTACTGAGGTGCCCTCGCCACAAACTGGTTTTCTGCGCGCAGGCAGCCGTTGCTGCGCTCGCTCCACCTCGTCACGCTGCGCTCGCTCGACTTGCAGCAGCGTTACATTTGTGCCACAAAACCAACCAATCAGAGAATTAAAGAAGGTCCATTGTGATTGGCTGTTGGTCTCCAATCACAACGCTAGTAGAACTACCTACAGCATCGCGGAAGCTCAGCGAGTTGTTGAAGTTTGCAGCATTTGTGCTAAATGCTAATGGCCAGGATTAAAACACTTGGTGTTCTCATCATTTGCTTCGGTCATGTCTGATGCTGGCTAGTCGGACATCTAATATAACTCGTTTTCGTCTTCTTTAGCAAGCATTGTGAATGGAGACCAACAGCCAATCACAATGGACCTTCTTTAATTCTCTGATTGGTTGGTTTTGTGGCACAAATGTAACGCTGCTGCAAGTCGAGCGAGCGCGTGAGTGAACCGTCGAGCGAGCGCAGCGTGAAGAGGTGGAGCGAGCGCAGCAACGGCTGCCTGCGCGCAGAAAACCAGTTTGTGGCGAGGGCACCTCAGTAAACTGCGCGCACGGAATGTTTTTCTTTGCTACAACATAGTTCTCTGTGCTCAAAACTTAAAATTACGCGCTCAGGATTGTGGCACAAATATAACGCCATACGTGGCATCGCTGAGGGACGGGAGAACAAACCATGGGCCTCATGTACAGGACTTCAACGGCATACTTCACAGTGCTGTTGCTATGAGATGCCCAGAGACCCCTTTGTTTTCTATTGTAAGCCTTTGTAGTAACTGACATTGTTGTGTTGCTATTAGAGTATATATATTATATATATTTATTTACGGTAGGTGTACAATATATAGCAGCCTGTCACTGTATCACATGGTACCACTAGAGAGCAGGGTTTCCTAACTGGACACAGACTTGCGTATTGTGTATGTTGACCCCTTGGCATTCGACCTGAGTTTACTGAAACATTTAATGTAATATGTGTCTAGTTGAATATGATGGATATTGTTTCTCTGAATCGTGTCTTGCATAAAGTTTCTGGCCTGCTGTACCAGTAACGGAGTAACACAGAATTGGATGAGATTAGAAGGGGAGTTGGGAGGAGGATGACCCGAGATCGAGAGAGGAAGAAGGCCACGAAACACACTTTCCTACCCAGCCCTGCTAGACACACACACACACACACACGCGCTCTAACACAGGCCCACCCTGAAGTGTTGTGTTTGCCAGATGAGGGAGTGATACATGACTCTTGTCACTGCTTCCTTCATTACACCAGCACTTGTGCACCATAGAAACCACACCACAATGCGGTGCTTGCTGCAGTGCAGCGTAGAACTGAGACACAAGGCAACGCGTCCTGCACTGCACTGCAGGGAAAGGGCTGTTTAATTAAATACTGACAAAGGATGAAGGGTACTTTAGCCACAATGAAGCTGCAACGCTGTTAGTGTATTTTAGTGGAGAACATGAGCTGAACTGAATACAATAAGCTCCTTTCGTGTTATGATTGTCTAAAACCAAATGAGAACCAGTCTGGATGAGTAAACTCAAGCAACCGCCGACATTCCAACTATAGATTTATTTGTATAAAATATTTTTAAAAGTATATCATAATACATACAGTAAATGGTGTGAGAGCCGGCAGAATGTCTTCTCTCAGATGGTACAGTAAGTCCACTAGGTTCTGACAATGGCATAATTATAAAATATCATATAAATACACATTTTGATCTAAATCTGAAAGCACTTAACTATGGCTTTATCGTCATTCAATACGGAACAGGACATAAGTCAGGCGAAAGATAACGCCTGTATCTTTGTGTTGTTGCTCAGTGTTTGTCCGTCCAAACTGGATGGAAAACGAAAGATTGTTGGCGTTCGGACGAGGGGAAAGTGCTGAAGGATTTCATGAGGTTCAAAAATACCAGGAAAAGAAACCTCTCTTTCTGAGCATTGTGTCCCATCTGTGACCTCTGACCTCGAACGCAACGCTACTCACGTAACCAGACCCGTGCATCACGCTACACTCATTTTCCTGTTCTTTCTCCTCACAGATAGAGGATCCAATTCATAGACCGAACATGGACACATATCTGTGTCAACTTCACACTGAAAAACAGTAAGTTGCCGAGTTACTAGCTCAAAGCAGAGTGGCTGCAAGACACAATTGCATCAGGAGAGTCCTGGGGTTCGGTAATACAAATGACCTCGTCTTTGATGAACACGACTGCTGTCCGGCGCACAATCAGGGCCGTCAACAATAACACATTTTATCTTTGCTGTTGCAAGCTACACAGCTTTTGTCATTATAACCCTGAATACTTGGTTCTCCAGTAAAAAATCAAGCTCTGTTTTCTGAATAGTGAGTGCAAATTGTTATGAATAGATACATATTCAGATCTTGAGTGACGTGGTTGAAAACAAGACCTTTTTCTCACAGTATGTTACAGGAATTTGTCACAGTATGTCTATGTTTGCCTCGGGTAAGGTTGTCGACACAATCATTGTGATGCCACAGATTACGACATTCACTCTTGTGTCATCTCTTCGATGCAGTTCCTCCTCGGCGGATATTTAAGATATTTCATTACTCTGCAAAGTCACTGGGGAGGTGAAGGCGCAGCTGCGACGCGCGCGTGGACGAGCTGTGGCCCTCCGGTTGGGGAAAATGGAAATGCGATATCGTTCATGATGTTGAGAGATTTCCACGAGGTTGTGAATATTTCAGGGCCTGCCATCCCCATTCTTGGTCTTGAGCACGACGAGGCTAACCATGACGGGGATCAAGCAGATGGGAGTCATCACCAGGGCAAAGACAATCACCGGCGGTGGGTCGCTCAGCTCCTGCGAGGGACAATCCTTGAAGTGGCTGGAGTGGATCTCCACAAAGGTCTGTTCCACCAGCGGGTTGGGCCATGGGATCATTAGACAGTCAGATATCTCCTCGGTGCATAGGCTGAGGTTGCTATACAAACTGCAGTGTGGAGACACACAGCGCGCAGAAGAGGATTCAGACGTTTCATTTAACAATATTTTTTCATTTTAAAACAAATTCCCTGCAAATATGAACACGCATTACTTACCCGCCCACGTTGCTCCAAGTGCACCATTCAGTGCTGTTCAGTGATGCCATTGCGTCATAAAATTTCGTGATACATTGAATTTGGAGCAGAGTGGAAAGGCAATCCATGGTTGGTCCGTGATAATGAGTATCACAAATTCTGCAGTAAATCCCACACGTGTCAGAGTTATTTCCACAAGCTGCATTGTCAAAGAGATTAACAAAGAAAGAGAGATTGAAATTAGAATATAATAATACATTGAATGGTTATTTATTAAAGTGATCTCCATTAAATGCTGGGTTAACAGAATGACGTGAAGGTACATGACTACAATTATTTAATAAAGTGGTGTCACATACCAAATGACAAGGGGGGGGTTTCTGAAGTGGCATCTTAAACAAAGAGGAATAACATGTTTAGATTGAAACATTTACATTCAGCTGCCATAAACTCTTTAAATCAAACGGACAACAGCAAAAGTAATACCAGGTCTTTGTGACTAACTTCATCAGATAAGTTCATCAAAGACAAATATCCTAGCAAATGTCGATGCAAAGCGTATGTTTGTTTCCTGCTAGCTCGTGAGATCATTTACGCGTCTAGCACTGAGCCAGGCATTTGCAGCTGTAGAAGGAGACCACACACTCACCGCAGAGAAAGCAGAGGAATATCCCAATGAAACCAAGTGCTCCCTTCATGTCAGGAAAAAATGAATAAAGGTGCGATTCCCCCAACCGGTGACCATGGATAACAAACCCTAAACTTCTCAGACTGTGTAGAGCGAGGCGCAACAGGAAACCCGGCAGGATGGAAGAGACGCAGTGTAACCTTCGGTTACCAGATGTCCAAACAGTGTTACCCGCGGTTACCAGATGTTCTTCGAAGATCTGTCTGACGGGCCTGCGCCTAGGCAGCCGCACTTCCCCTCTCCGACACACGTTTCCTCAGGATTTTCTTCCCTTTTTTAACGGGGTGGAGGCAACAAAGATTGTCCTCTCCATTCTCCCAAATAAAAGGGAGCACACCCAAGCTGGGCTGGACCCACATCTGAAAACCCTTTACTCTCTAACTCTTGTTCTGCTTTTTAGTCTCAGTTTCTCACAGTCGAAGGCCTGGCCAGCTCACAGCATGTGATTTATTTGCCTTTTGGGCTGCCTCTGCCAAATAAGAAACATGAGTAAACATTCAGGACTTTGCTTTTTGGGGTGGATGTTATCATGACTCTGCAGGGTGTGCTGTGCAGACAGCAATGTTTCATGTTTGGGTTAATTAATAAAGAAAAAAAGAGAAATAAGTCATTAGACTGTGCTGAGATTCAAAGGGCCAACTGACTGATAATTCCAAAGCTGGAAAACTTTTTTCACTGTGCTACATCTGTTAAGTAGGTTCTCACTCTCGCCATTCACCACTGTAACAGAGGTGGGTTCATTGATTGAATGGAAAATGAAGTGTAAGACTCTTTTCTCACAACCGACTTTTTCATTTATGTCACTGAATCCACACATTGGGACTCTCACAACATCTGTTTGCCGAGCAGGACTTTTTGATTTAGTGATGACATCAGGAAATGTTACTTTTCTGCAGAGGAGGAGCTCAGAGTTTGTGGGAGTTGGCAGGGGAAGGAGGGAGGGGTGGAGGAGGTGGGGTGGGTGGGGGGGTGGGGGGGGGGGGACAGTCAGGGGAGGAGAAAAAAAGAAAAAGGAAGTCACAAGAGGAGGAACAGTGAAAGGGGCGCTTTCCAGTTGTTTCACAACCTTCATGCGCTGATCCCAGACGTTGCATGGGGTGAATGACGAACAAATTCAGGAAGTTGAGCCAGGTGGGATCTTTTTGAAATGAGGTTTGAAATAACCTTTGACCCAAACCCACTACGGGCCTCGTGTCTACTGCTGTTGACCCCTCACTGGTGGAGACCTCCCGAGCTGTTTGTCTTGGATTCTCATGATAGCACACACAGGCAGATCTTGGCAGGAACAGGATCGCTGTGCTTTGCTCTATTCCTCTGTCAGTTCCAGCAATTGAGTTCAACAAACTGATTCAAAACAACCCCCCCAGTGCTCACAAATACATAATCAGTATTTTTACTGTAAAATATAGAACATGTAAATAACTGTCATACATTTCTGCTGAAATATTAAAGTAAGATTAAATCGAAACCGAACCATTAGCAGAAGTCATTTGTTGTTAGGGAGACACTCAATAATTGAGTAAAAGAAAAGAGATGTAATCTTACTGGCAACCTCCGTCACTGTTGAGAAATACCCTGTAGAGGAAGAATGGGATGTTAGTCTAAGTATGCATGAGCAGAAAGCCTGTGCTTTGTTTGCACCTTCAAACACGCATGTCGTACCTGTCGGGGTGGCCGGTGGCGCCGTTATCTTTTCATTGACCAGACAAACCACTGTTGAGCAACCTGCTAAAAGAGAAATCAAATAAGAGAAGAACTGGATATTGGATTTGAGATATATTTTTAGATAGTAAAAAGTCGACACTTTGACACTTATTAAATTAAATTGAACAATTTTCAGAACATTTAACGGTTGAGGAGACAAAGGAAGTGAAGAGGAACGAGCTGCAGAGAGTGAAGAGGTGAACGCATCCTCCCTTTGTCTCCCAGTCTTTTGAGGAAATCTTAATATATTCAAGTCCAGCATAAACTAACAAAAGATTCACCTCCCACCAGAATAAAACATTTTATTAAAGGAATAGGAGCTAATGCTAACGGCAGTATGAATAATACAATCCACTGAAATAATCGGGTGATGACATTTGTAGGAGCCAGTGTAACATAAATTCTTCTTTAATAACATATGTGTTGAGACAGATTGGTCATAAACCCTCCTTGGCCCTTAAATCAAACTGTTCAAGTACACAACTAACTCACGAGACTTCCTAAACGCCTTTCTAAAAGCCACTCAATCATTGAAATCCCCGAGCATTCCTCTGGAGAAGTGAGATAGAGGGCAAGTAAAACAGTTCAATCATAAAGTGGGAAAGAAATGGACAGTATAAATCGTCTACTTACCCCAGATGAGAAGAGTTATAAAACACCCAGAGATCATAGGTGGGAAACTAGTGGCTGTCATTTTGCCTGAAAACGCTCTGCTCTTCTTCTTCTTCCCTGGTGGGTAAGGATTACTTATCTCAACCTTTTTGCAGGAAGGCTCTAAAAAACAACAGGAAGCCCTCATTTCCTAGGATGGGCGGATTCGCACAATGGTACTGAGAGCCTCTGACAGGGGTAGAACTACCGTGGACCACTAGTGCATCACCACCTCTCTCTCTTTCTTTATCTCTTCCTCGTCCCACTCTCGGCTTTACAACAGAAAGAGAGAGAGAGAGAGAGTTGGGGAGAGCCCCACCCTCTTTTTAGGACTCCCTCTCTCTGTCTTTACCTTTGCCTTTGATATCTGCCTTCATCAATACAGGCGGTATTTTGATTTCAACTATGGACTAATAGCCTGTAAGTCTTGGACTTCAAAAAAAAAAAAAGCAAGCAGAAAAAAACTGAAATGCATTACTTTGGAATTGCTCGTGTCCTGTTTCACTTCCTGTCAGCTGTTGTTAACATACATTGCAACAGTAAATAAACTGAGGTACATGTGGAATGTGTGCATTTTTAACCACCAGGGTTCTTTGTTGTAACTGATTCTGAGGAAGCCAACAGAACCCTGCCGTCCACAGTTCCTTGAAGACAATGCCTGGATGGATGGACCAAAGGCCAGAATGAATTTTCTTCCTATTAAAACTGGGGCACCTTCATTACCCACAATGCAACTAGAGTGCCGACAGTTCAGCTGGAGATGTGGTTGTGTTATGCTGGTAGCGGCAATTTGCTTTGAGTCCCCTGCTTTGAAAGACTGCTCATGACCTATGAGCAAAACGTTGGTGGGTTTGTTGTGGTGTTGCACCATCGGTGCTGATGACGAGCGACCCCTCTGCCTCCGACGTCACGCCGAGGCCTCTGTGGTAAACGGAGGCGGCAGAGATCTCCGATGTTAAACCGATGGACTCGTCCGCGTCACTGAAGGATAAGTGTTCTTTCTCAGCTGCTAGACTGGAGGAGAGAGCCCACTAGGGAGAGGGCCAAAAATGATTCCATGTTTTATTCCAGAAGGAGGAGGCCACTCTTCGTTTTCATATGTGACTGGAACTTAAGAATCTCACAAACAGACTGTTAAACGCAGCACATCTGCACCAAACTACGGGTGACAAGTTAAAAAGACTGAATGGATGATGTGAATGTGAAGCTTGACATGTTTAAAGCTTTCTGTTGGGGAATGTTTAACTGCCGTTTCAATTTTATAGCAATAAATGCTTCTTACATTTAGTACATCGAGCATAGAGAATATTTGTAATGTCGAGGTATATCAAGATCACAATGCTGCACCACATTGAGTACCACAATGACGAGTTTAAAGACCGACACACACTGTTTACATGACACAGAATTAAAAACTTCCTGCTCATAACAGCCATGCTGCCCAAATGTGTCTTCATGTGTGTGTTTACTTTGGTTGCTCCGGTCAGTATCAACATTAAACAAGATACTAACTGTAGACACGGCAAACATGACGTATGTGTGGCACAAACAGTGGAGCAGCGATCGACATTTGACTTATTTTGAAAAGAAAAAACTAAAACTGTTGTTAATATTACCAGAATAATATATTTACAGCCTGTAAGGGATTTTGCAGTGAAGGCTGCATGTATCCCTCGTTTGATAATTGACGCGTTACCCTCATCTATCAACGACAGCGTAACAACCAATGATAAATAAGTTAATGAATAAAGCCATGGTTCTTTACTGGCTAATTAAGGGGACCCCCTCTTCTTCATGATCAATAGTCTTAAGAAATATTCACTCACATGCCAATTACTTTGTTGAGTTAAACATCATTGCAAAATATGATTTTTCTACTGATTGAGGTACTTAAAAAAAATAGTGGATGTTTTGCGAAAGAACATCTTTTGCGAGGAGTGATATCTCATGGAGATGCATATTAGAAATGGATCACTTGTGCAAATAGCGTTTTGTGGAACGTATGTTGCTTAGTTACCTCACAAAAGTATTTCATTTTTTTTACGGTGTCTCTAAAATATGTAGTTTGAATAGATCCATCCAGTAAAATGAAAGCTTCTTACATTTTGTCTTCAAACTCCTTCAACTAATCAGGTCGATCACACGTACGCAAAAAGAAACCGGAAACGTGCTTGTCGGCAACTCCAGTGAAGTGGGGTTTTACGTGAGGTTCCTGAATGCATCAGCGGCCAGAGGTCCGTCATCCAGCTCTCTCATTACGGGATATAAAATGCGTCGTGCTCTCCCTGCAGGAGGAGAGCAGAACAACAGCTCAACTGTTTTTCACTCGGTACAAGTGTAGGAGTTTCCACGTTATCGATCATTTTTTCATTCTTAATATTTTTGGACTGTTACTTTATCCTCACAATCTGAAAAATCAGGGTAATTAGACCTCATTCTGTGAATATATTGCTTATGTTAGTAGTGTATTTGTTGTGCTATTTTTTTTTTTACTAAACGGTTAAACAAATCCTGCGCGATTATTTTATTCATTTTAACCATTGCGTTAATGTGTCGATCGGAACCGTCATATACGCGCACGCGTTTAGATGGCGAGTCACTCCGGACAGTTGCATCAGTTCCTGTGTGCGCGTGTTAAATGGCTGTGCCGTGCCCGCCGCTCAACGCCACTTCTTATTCCCTGGACGCAGAATTACAGTCACAAAATCCTCCGCTCGCGAGGGCAGTGCTCATAATAAAGACGTCACCCTCATTCGCTCGCCTCGGCTCGCCTCGGATCGGCTTGGCTTGGCTCGACAGTGCGCAGCTATTTGTGAGCTACAACAACAACAACATCCAGCAACCATGCCCGTGGATAACGCACGGATTTCTATGAGATCACCCTCGCGAGTGTGGATATAACGACATCTGCGTCAGACCCATATAGCAAAAGGGCAGATTTTAATTGCTCCGGATATCTCGACACGACTGTGGAAAAAAAAAACTCGCAAAAAAAAAATAAAAAAAAGACAGGAACGTGCGATCTGTTCGCAACAAATAGGAAGCACCAGCCGCGGATTTGAAGGTATTTAATAACTGCGACACACTGCATGTAGAGGCAGACGTGCACACGCGTCCTCTGGAATAACGTGCCCCGCCGTTGCGGCGCTTTGGGCGCGTGCGCCTTTTTAAAGTGTTTACGCGTTTAGAATGATACGGCGCGTGGATCCGTCTCAGCGGGGTGGCGAGCTGCAGGACGGATCTCACTCCATAGCTGGGGGAGGCGGGAGGAGGAGGAGGAGTGAGGGGTTAAAAGCGCGTGCATGTGCCTAGAAAACACACCAAAAAAAAATGCACTGGCGCAATCCGCCTTTGCACACCTTGTTTTATGCCGTTTTAGCTCCGACGGGAGCTAATTGATGTGCGCCGAGGTGCTTGTGAAACGCAATAAAACTCTACTACGCACTTTTCTGCTCTGCGTCATATGGCTTTTTTTCTTCTTCTCCTTCTTCTGGAGAGGCACGCCCACCCGTGAGCGGTGCGTGGATCATGCCCCCGTGATGTTCAACTATTGGAGACTTGACTTGTTGACTTGTTTGTTTGCACACGAACGGGTCTGTTTGTTCATCATTCGGTCGGTTGCGGTCTGAGCGATTTAAAGAACCAGCGTCAAAACCCGTCCCCCTTGTTCCACATTGAAAGGCAGTTTTATTTTGCAAACAGAGGGGGGCACTCTTTCCAACAGACTTCACGTTCCACGTCAGGACGGAGGAGGAAGTTTTCGTGCCTGTGAGAGGCGGGGTGGGAATAGCGTAGTACTTACTGTGTAAGGTCATGAAGATGCAGGAACCTCGCTTGAATGACAGAATGTCAGTTTTAAATCAGAGAGAATTGAGGCTCCACCGGCTTTACACGAAGAAACACAGCCTTTGCTGCTTAGTGAATGCCAAATAGCATCTCTTTCTTTTTCAAACAGTCATGGAGGAAACGACCGCTGCAGGTCCAGAACCGGGCTCAGGTGCTGCGGCACCAGCAGCCCCGAAACCTCAGCCTCCCTCCTTTGTGCCGTCCCGCAGCCTGATGGAGTGGAGACGGAGGGTCAAGTCAGAGTATATGCGCCTCTGCCAAGTAAAACGCCTTAAAAAAGTAGAGAAGGTCAAGGTGGGTCAACGCAATTACTAACATTTTTTCAATGTTGTTCTAATTGATGCCAGTGCACTAAATGCACGCTGTTGTAGCACTCACCTACTGTGTTTGTGTGCCTTACATGACGTGTGACATGCTCTTTGTTCTGTTTGATTCCAGACCCTGTTCATGTCCAACAGGAAAAAGATTGAGCAGCAAACGAATCTCCTGAATGCAGAGTGGTCCAGGCTCCGGATTCAGTCCATCCCTCTGTCAACGTCTGGTGGAGCTGTGGCCAACAAGAAGGTGTGCGACAGTGTGCTGAAGAGAGGCAAATGCTAGCCACAAAATTCTATTATCATAAAGTTATATTATAGTAAGCTCCAACAAAAAATAAGCAGACAAAAACCTTATTAATCAACTGAAACTAAAGTTAAAAACAAACTGAACTGAAAACATATTTCTCTAAAAACACATTCAAATATAAAAAATGAACGTAAAGTTGTATCAGTTTTAGTTTTTCAGCCGCAATATGACTCTGCCTCAGAAAAATACATTTCTCGTCAACTCTTGTGAGCTGACATTCCAGGGAAGTGACAATATGTCTCAATTTCTTTGCCATAGACATTATGAACGTTCCTTTAGATTAACCCTGCCCAGATAAAAAACTATCCAGAGAGTTGTGTCTCCAACCACCACTGCATTTACTGTGGGATTGAATCAGTACGACCCAGAATTTTCCGCTCCTGTGTATCACTCGCACAATGTCATGCAACGCTCTTTATAATCCATTCAGGTGTCTGCGATGGCCTCTGTGCAGGAGAGCTGCTAAGTTCTGCTTTTTGGGCTCTACCGCAACTTGAAGCGTCTATTTAGGCTCGACAAATAAAAACAAATTGAAACTATTATAACTTTCAACACACCGCCACACGTTCCCCGTCCAGGCTGCTCTGGCTTTGCAAGTCATCCTATTTGATTTCCTTGTCTCGTGAGTCAACTCCTCATCCGCATCGTATTGCATCCTCCTTAGCAGCACAGGCGCTTCTGTTCTAATTCCCACCTGGTTGTCAGATTTTCCTAAAATATCTCGGAACAAAGCCGTGTGCCAGTAACTGATCATAACAAGCAGTCAAAAAGTGGTTTCTAGTCCTCTGGGACCTGATAATTCAAGCAGCCTGAGGAGCTGACAGCATTTTTCTCCGTCCCTCATGCTGTCACAGTCCCTTTTGTTGCATTTACTTTGTTCATTTTCCCGGGTGGCGCGGCCCGCAGCATTTGTATTTGATTACATGATTATAAAAATTGTCCAGTAATGCTTTATAGAACTGCTTTATTGTCCTGTCATCCCATACTCACCTCTGCTTCTCCTATGTACAGTGCACGGTGGAGTTTGGCTTTCCTGAATTTAAAGCCCAAGCCATTGCCATGAGACCGCTGTCAACAGTGACAGGAATCCCCTTCATGTACTCTTGGTCGCCTCTGCAGCACAACTTCATGGTAAATCACAATCTTCGGGTGACGTTCTTTGGGTGTCCCGAGATGACTCACAGGTGCTGCAGTGACAAGCTCCGTCAGCTGGAACGTCAACCTGTCTTGATGTTCCTTAGGTGGAGGATGAGACATTCCTTCACAACATCCCATACATGGGCGACGAGGTCCTGGAGCAAGACGAGGCCTTTCTGGAGGAACTCATCGACAACTACGATGGTGTCCATGGCGACAGAGGTTGGTGTCGAATTGATAATGCTGCACCAGTCACACTTTATGCAACAGCGCCGTTACCGTGGCACTTTTTGTCCGTTATGTGCCAGTGATGCAGCCTGTGAAGAACGTGAATACATATTTTAGGGCACCGCTTTGATGAACTGCGACCCGGTAAACTGGTTCCCTAGGGGGGTTCCTCATGCACTAAGTCTTTAAAAAGTTAGTGGAAGGTCCTGAAGCCATTTCTTCTTCCACCTAGAAGCATGAAGACCACGAAGTAGTTGCAGGAGGAGGAGGAGGAGGAGGAGGAGGAGGAGGAAGAAGCAGCCGCGATGACGGCAGAGGCCGCGGCGGATGTGGCGGTGAAGAAGGAGGACGAGAGAGTGATGAGGAGCTCGGCGGAGGGTTCGGAAGACACCCAAGCGGGTACCGTCGCGTTCACCGGGAGGAAGAGGAGGAGCACCGCTGAGGGTACGCAAGTCTTCACCCCCGTTCAAAAGTAGCCTCCAGCCTGAACAAAGCTGGTACCGTTCCTCCCATTACGCTGTGGAGCCGCCGCCAGGTCGCCCTGCCCAATCAGCGTTTGTGTACCTTGAAGCTGCCCCCATGTCCCCCCCGCGTGGGTGCTGTGTCTGAGGGAACTCGTCCATGACACTGATGCGGTGCGGCTCTTATTACAAAACCTAACGACCTCCTGCACCAAGCTTTAAGGTCCACAAACGCATCTATGAATGAGGGGGTCCGTGGAAAAATACACATCTGAGGCCTTGAGCTTCGTGAACTCTTCGGTGCCGTTGCAAAATGTTTAAAAGGACACATTGCATAAGACGTATTTGTGAACCCGCATCGAAGCATGACGTTGATGTTTTCTTTCTTCCTGTCTCCCAAAGTGAGCGACTCATCCAGCAGCAAGAAGGTCCCCAACGAAAATATCTTTTCAGCCATCGCCTCAATGTTCCCTTACAAGGGCACCACGGAGGAGCTGAAGGAAAAGTAAGACAAGTGCAGTAGAGACGTGAATGTATTTGCACAATGCTCAACAGGCCGTTGCTTGGTGTTCACCATGGAGACGCAAGCTGTCAGCGAGGGGAGTAATAATGGTGGCTCCCACTCAGGCTCTCTGCCTCAAAGGAGCGCTCGGATCAGCATCTGAAAGAGCTTTCAGAAAGAAACACCTACGGCTTCGCACAGCACACCAAATCCAAGCCCACGGCGCGCTGCTGTGGGAAATGGGCTTCGCCTCACGGTTGCCGTGTGTTTTTCACTTCGGAAATCCCCCACAGGTACAAGGACCTCGTTGAGCCCCCCCAGCCGGTGAAGCTGCCCCCACTCTGCACCCCCAGCCTGGACGGACCCTTTGCTAAGTCTGTACAGCGGGAGCAGTCGTTACACTCCTTCCACACGCTCTTCTGCAGACGTTGCTTCAAATACGACTGTTTCCTCCACCGTAAAGGCTTGATTTATGTTGAATATTATTTCTCCTGCGGTGTGATGTTTCCCAGTGACATTAATAATTAATAATCAATGACGCACGTACCGATGCTCAACACGAAGTCAAATGACGTTCCCCCCCCCCCCCCCCCCCCTTTTTGTTTTGGGTGAAGCTTTCCACGCTACGCCCAATGTTTACAAACGCAAGAGCAAGGAGATCCGCGTGGAGACGGAGCCATGTGGTGCGGACTGCTTCCTGTTAGAGGTACGCCGACGTCACAAGTGTCGTGACCCACTGGTGCATCAGGCGCAACGCTTCACCTCGCTGTCTACTCTTTTTTCCCCCCTGTCCTGCGAAGAAAGGGGCCAAAGAGTTTGTGGATCAGAACATGTTACGGTCACAAAGGTCTCGGAGGCGCCGAAAGCAGCCGCGTCCCGCCAGCTCCAGCTGTCCCGGGCCGTCCGCGTCCGCCGAGGAAGCACAAGAGGGCTGCAGTGACCATGAAACCACCTCCTCCTCAGGTTAGTGCTCCGATCCGCCAGCGACCTTCTGAAACCACCACGTGCTTCGTCGGTTCTTGGAGTCTCAGTGGATCTACGATCTACGGTTCATAATGTTTGTTTGTTGTTTACTCACATTGCCTGTTGTTTTGAGATTTGAGATTTGACAAGTCTTTGAGGCCTCATGCAGTTACATGTTGTTACAGATGTTTGGTTATTGCGAGTCACTGGATGAGAGGAGGCGGGATTTACCGTAACCTCCCCCAAATCCCTCCCTTTCTGGAAAGTTATCGTGCCCTGACTGCACTTCAGAAAAGGGGAATTTGGCAGGAGATGATAGCGTGCTGTTTTGTCCTGTGTCCCCCCCCCCCCCCTCCCTCCATTTACTCTCAATATCAGCTCACTCTTGCCAATCAAAATAAACCAGCCACTAGTTTAACATAAACACATTGTTCCCTCTCCCCCCCTGTGATGGGGGAACGGTTTCCATTTCTGTTGACATCTCCATGTGGAGGGCAGCGGGAGGGAAGTAAGTTAGGACAATCTCTTCTGGCTCTTTATGGTCCCTTCCTCCTCTGGACGCCTTAAGTTGTTGTTCCTTCACTTGAAGTCTCCGTTAGTTCAGGAAACCGCTCATGCTCGGCCGGTGACTCAGCAGACTCTCTCTCTCTCTCTCTCTCTCTCTCTCTTGCACGTGTCGAGATAATTTGGGGGTCATCAAAAGCAGATTGTTGAGCAGATTAATACAAATATCCAGTGCCGGAGCACGCGGCCACGGCAGAGCTGCATTTAGCCTGTTGCCAAGCAACATTCGGCTCTCTGCCTCGAGCTTCAGCATCAGTCTTGAATATCCAAAAAGCTAAATCAAAGCCATGGTCTCCTGTGTGTGTATGTGTGTGTGTGTGTGTTAACTGGCAGACATACAAAAATGGCACCTCGAAATAGCTGTATGTGCATCACTGTAGGATTATATTAGCATCACTGTGTGTGGGCAGAGCAGAAAACTGTCAAAAACCTTTTTTACCGCAACAAAGTAATGGAAAATAGTGTTACAAGCCAACCCTTTTCCCCCCAAGAGTGGTGATACCAGAGGTTTTTGTTTCCTTTGTGTGTAACAGAGGGGAATTCGCGATGCCCGACTCCCACCAAGCTGCGTCCAGGCGACGATGACGGGGAGCAGCAGCAGGCGGGCGCGGTGGTCCAGTGGAGCGGGGCAGAGGAGTCGCTCTTCAGAGTGCTACACGGCACCTACTTCAACAACTTCTGCTCCATCGCTCGCCTTATCGGCACCAAGAACTGCAAGGAGGTAAAGGGGTTCACGCACCGCAAAGGAATGCTTTACACACAAAATGCCCATCTGCAGATCAATCACCCCCCCGTGTTACCTTGAAATCTTGCACGCCTCCACATCAAAAACACAGAATCAACAAACTTGACAGACGGTTTGATGAACTGAAGGAAATGGGGGCCGTGATCAACAGCAGCAAGACGTGTTTTAAATGACGCAGGTGTTTCTAAATATGATTTATTCATTTCCCTAAATGCCAGATGCTGGATTAAAACATCTATCAACACAACACAACAAACCCATCCAAAGGAAATAGTGAGGCATTTCTGTACAACAATTACGAGTTAATAGCTCTAGATAGCTCTACTCTTATCTGTTCACTAGCTATACAAGTTATGAATTGTATTTTTAAATGATATGTAACCAACAAACAAATGCTTTCTTTAACTATTATATAACTAAACGTGGGTCGCTGATTTTTGTTGTGTTTGGAGTGCGAGTACAATAACTAATGCATCCTGTGCCTGTGGTTAATTGGGGTGACTACACAGAGAATGGCATGCACCATAAACGCCGATGCTTACCAGATGTGACGTCGGCCAAATTCTCTCGTGATCGCAGTCAGCCCTGGACATTCCCAGAATTAAGTCAAATTAAATGTCATGTGGGCTGTGCGTAATAAAGCTTGGAAAGAACAGATGACAAGTTCTAAATGTTTCCAAAACGTTTAAATATAATGCACATGGAAAAGAAGAGGAAAGGAAAAGATTTGTTGACACAAATCACATCCACCCCTCCAGCGCCACTTGTCACATGGCAAAGACCAGTCCAAAGGTCCGTATTGGACTGTGCGTCCCGGTCCTGCTGCTAGAGGGTTCTGCCCACCGCTTATCTGAGAGCGAAAGCTGCAACCAGCTGCATCATTATTATTATTATGTCTGTGCCCCAGGGAAGAAGCCAAATCTAGGTTTTGGCCACCAGAGGTATTTGAGCGTGTGTGTGTGTGTGTGTGTGTGTGTGT